GTGAAAAGATAGGATGAAGAAAAATAGGGTGCAGAGGCACACCCTAACTGGAGGGACTTCCAAGATTTTCAGTGTTCGAGTAACCTGTCATAACCTGGGGCGGTGAAGCCAGCTCCTCTGGAGACCGCAGCCTTGGATTCACTTGTTCTGCAGTCTTTGGAGAGTGCTGACTCAGCACTAACACTCTTGCAGCATTTCCAGATAAGTCCGGGAGAGCACCGGAGAGCACCGGATACAAGCGAACACATTTGGTGTCTTTTTTAACTCCCCCCAAGTTGGCAAAAAGCAGAACATTTTCTGTAGGTTTTTTTTTATTTACCTTCACATCCTTTCTCAACTCATTCTGTCTACACCAAACCCACACTCCTCATATATTTTTAGGTTAAAAATAAAGTGGAGCCCTCATGGTGTCTTTCCAGAAGGCTTCCTTGCGCTGGCCCCACCTACCAATGGTAGCTCCTTTCTTGGCTTCCATACAACCCCACTCATCTCTAGCAAGCACTTACCATGAGGCTTTGGCTCACCTGTTTAATGACCCGCTTCCTCTAAGACTGTGACTTCCTTAAGGCAGGTGCTGTGCCTTCATAACTGGTCCCTGGGGCCTGCCTTGCAGGAGGCCAAGGCACTTCCATCTGTTCCTCTCCCCCTGAGTTCTCTGCCTTTAATACTCTTCCACTCAGCCAGAAGCTAACCCCATAACATCACATCCGTTCTCAGAGAACCAAAGAAGGCTTCTTCCCTGCAGTCAATTGGCATGCCTTACTGAGTAAGCCATGCACAGCACTGCAACAGTATGAGAAAATATGGGCTCCCACAAGACATGACTGTCACATCTGTCTCAGGAAGGCTGATGGTCAAGGTGGTGGCTGAAGGGCTTTGTTCAGCTGAGAGCTGTGGTCTTCTGGAATACCAAGTAAAGAAAGTGGGAGAGATCAGAGCTGCATGTAGGGCTTGAAAGCAAAGCATTAACTGGGAAATGAAATTCAAGGAAGGCAGAAATCGACACTATGGGTGACAGTGGGGAGGAGACAGCATTATAAAGCATAGAACTTAAAACACAACTGGCTATATGTGCAGAAAGGAAGGAGACGGGGAGGGGAATATGAAATTGGACTGAAGAACAATTTAAACTCTTACATTTTTATTAATGTATAGGTGAGTCTACTCAATGTCCCACTCAGTGTCAGTCCTGATGAACTTAAGGGAGAAATGACATCCTCTTTAATCTTTTATGGGGTGAGATTCAGTCTTGGCTGTACTTGGATTTTGAAGAAGGCTTTATAAAATGCCAATGCCTGGACCCCACTCCTACAGAGTCTGATGGAGTTAATTTCTTCCTGAGCCTTCCTATAAAAGTTGAACTAAGGCAAATATTTATGGTTTTCACACAAATTTGTAGAATGTTAAAAAAACCATTTTTCATTACCCTCACCTTTTAAAAATTAAGACTGAGTGATTTTTTTCTTTTTCTTTCTTTCTTTCCTCTTTTTCTTTTTTGTTTGTTTGTTTGGTTTGTTTTGTTTTCAAGACAGGGTTTCTCTGTGTGGCATTGGTTGTCCCAGAATTCCCTCTGTAGATCAGGCTGGTCTCAAACTCACAGAGATCTGCCTGTCTCTGCCCCTCGAGTTCTGGAATTCAAGATATGTACCACAACTGTCTGGCTAAGATTAAGTGCTTTAACTCCTATGTTAAATGCTAAATATAAATTTACTCTTAGAGTAAGAAAGATTTCTTCAAGAAACCAATACACAAGGAGGCTTAGGGATAACCTACCTGAAAAAAAAAGAAAGACAGAAAAACAAAGAAAGTGAGTTGATGGGGTCTGGAGAGATGCATCAGAGGTTAAGAGCAATAGCTGCTCTTCTAGAGAATCATGGTTCAACTCCCAGAACCCAAATGTCAGCTCACAACTGTCTATAACTCCGGTTCTAGGGGATCTGGCACCCTCACACAGACATACATACAGGCAAAACACCAATGCACATAAAATAAAAATGAGTAAATGATTTTTTTTAAAAAGAAAGGAAGTGAGTTGGTTTGCAAAGACTAGAAGAGTCACACATAAAGAACTCAGGTTCCGGAACTAGAAAGAAGGTTCAGCACGTGTAGTGGCTTGGAAGAAAATGGCCCCTAAAGGAAGTGGATTAGAAGGTGTGGCCTTGTTGGAGTAGGTGTGGTCTTATTGGAGGAAGTGTTTCATTGTGAAGGCAGGTTTCGAGGTCTCATATATGCTCAAGCCATGCCTAGTGAGACAATTCACTTCCTGTTGCCTACATAAGATGTAGAACTCTCAGCTATCTCTCCAGCAACATGTCTGCCTGCTGTACCTCTCAAGTGTAACCTACCCAAGTAAATGTTTTGCTTTATAAGAGTTGCTGTCGTCATGGTGTCTCTTCACAGCAATAGAAATCCTCACTATGACAGCAGTTAAAAGTGTTTTCTGCTCTTGCAAAGGCCTATGTTTGATTCCCAACACTCACTTCAGCAGCCTTGTAACTCCAGTTCCAGGGGATCTGATATCTAGTGCCCTCTTCTGGCCTCCATAGCCACCGAACTAACACACACACACACACACACACACACACACTCCTAAAAATAAAATATTAACAATTTTTTTAAAAATTCGGATCTAAACTATGGAGATTTACTGTGTGCAATAATAGAAATAGGTTAGTGAAACCTGTAATTGTATAATGATATTCCAAAAATATGAATGTTTAAAAGCATCTAGAAGACTTCATTAGTTTTAAAACTGGGGGAGAGGGTTGCTAATCAAGCACAAAATGTCACTGAGCAATCAAATATAATGAGAGAAGTGTCTCTTTATAGACTATTCTAGCAAATAGATATGAATTATAGGATATTGTTACTCTGTACCCCTCATGCATGAGAGGACGGGAGGCTAGTGCTGAGGCAGCAGAATCATAGTCAAGAAACAGCCCAGTGTGACAAGTCTCAAGGTACACAGCACTACTTTTATGAAGTCATCTTTTTGACCAGGAAGAACAATGATAGCAAATATAGCCACCACTCAAGCTGCCTATAGACAGAACTATCAGATCTTGGGAAATACATGGAACAGAAGTATATTGAACAATTTTTCTAGTTTGCTGTCTGTTGCTAAGATAAAACACTGACAAAAAGGAACTTAGGAGATGTCTTAGTTTGGATTTCTATCACTGAGAAGAGACACCATGAACACAGCCCACCCCACAGTAACACACGTCCTTTAACAAGGCCACACCTACTCTAACAAAGCCACACCTCCTAACAGTGTCACTTCCTATAGGCCAAGCAATCAAACACATGAGACTATGGGGGCCATTCCTATTCAAACCACCACAGGAGGAAAGGATTTATTTCATTTTACACTTTACCATCCATCATTGAGGGAAGCCAAGGCAGGAACTCAAGGCAGAAACCTGGAGACAGGAAGTGAAGCAGGGACCACTGAGAAAGGAGGAACACTACTTACTGGCTTGCTTTCCATGGCTTGCTCAGCAGGCCTTCTTATAAAACCCAGGACCATCTTCCCAGAGGTGACACTGCCCATCATAGACACAGCCCTCCTACATCAATCACTAACCAAGACAACCCCCCATAGACATGCCCACAGGTAAATCTGTAGGCAGTTCTTCAGTTGAGGATTCCCAGGTGACTCTAGCTTGTTTTGTTTTTATTTTTGTTTTGTTTGTTGCTTTTTTTTTCCAGCAGGGTTTTTCTGTGAAACCTTGGCTATCCTGGAACTTGTTCTTGTAGACCAGGCTGGCCTCCAACTCAGATATCTGCCCACCTCTGCCTCCCAAGTGCTGGGATTAAAGGTGGGTACCACCAACATTGGTTGCTCTAGCTTGCTTTGAATTGACAAAAACTAACCAATATACCATTCTTCAGGAATGCTTAAACAAAACCTAGCCTATAGGAAACAAATGATGGGTAAAAGGGAGATAGTGCATTCATTCATCTGTGAAAAAGTGTTGACATACCGACCTGGTGCTGCTCCCTCACAAAAGCTTTCTTTCAAAGTTGGTCCCTGCATGATTTTAGGAAAGCTCCCTTCAAAATTCCCTGCCTGATGAAAATTGCCTTGGTGCTTAACCTGCTGTGAAGTGACATTTATGGTGACATCTGCTTTTATTCTGGAAACCCAAAATTATGGTATGTGCAGACAATGGGCACCCATAGGACTGGCTTCCAATACATACTTTGGACACTGAACATTTGATGAGCTTCCCTGCATGACAACATTCTACACTCTGTCACAGTCTGATATTGGAATAACTAGTGTGTCCTGTGTGTCCTTATTGGGAGAGGGCTCTTGCAGCTTGCACCTGGCTTACTCTGGCCATGACCCCCCCCCCATATACTTATTTCCCTTTGCTGACTTTTCGTTTTTTGTCTACCTTGTGGTAGACACTCCCACCCCTCACTACCCCTTCACCACCACCCCCACACTCCCGCTCATATAGCTGAATGCTCTGTGGAACTGTTTGGAAAGGATTAGGAGGTGTGGTCTTGTTGGAGGATGTATGTTATTGGGGGCAGGCATTGAGTTTTCAAAAGCCCATATCATTCCTAGTGTTTCTCTATGCTCCTTGCTTGTGGGTCAAGATGCAAACTCTCAGCTACTGCTCCAGTGCCATGCCTGCCAGCCTGATGCCTTGCTCTCTGCCATGATGATAAGGAACTCTAACTCTCAGAAACTATAAACCCAAAATCAACTGTCTTCTGTGAGTTGCCTTGTTTTTTTTTCTTTTTTTATCACAGCACACAACAGTAACTAAGTCATACATTTTTAAAAACTTTATACATGTGTATGTGTATGTGTATGTGCAGAGGCCAGAGGACATCTGGTATCCTGCTCTATCACACTCTATCTCTCTGAGTTCAAGGCCACCCAGGGATGCATGAGATTGAATCAGTCTATAAAGAGTAACAGATCACATGCCTTTAATCCCAGCACTAGAGGGGCATAAAAGATAGAAGCAGGGTCTTCAGTATTCAACAGAAGGCACTGATTCTCCAGCCACGCTGAGGGTAGGAGCATCCATTCTCCAGCCACGCTGAGGATAGGAACATTCATTCTCCAGCCATGCTGAGGAGAGGCAGCCGTTTGAGGCTTGGAGAAGAGTTCATGTGTGGATCAGCCCTTTCAGCCTGAGCTGGAAGTGAGAGCAAAGTTGCTTTACTTTTCTGAACTTTGGCTTGCGCCCCAATCTCAGTCTCTGGGTCTTTTATTTATTCTTGTTACCCCCCATGCCTTTTGGCAAGCTGGAGGAGGTGATTTCAATCAGGGGACAACAGGACTTTCTTTCAGGTGGGTCTTAGTTCTGTGGCTGGTGATAGTTATGGAATTCTGGGAAAATTTTCTGTGAGGCTTCGGGGAATGTTAGTCAAGACTCCTGTGGTGAGCCACATAAACCAACTCGTTCCATTTTTAGAGAAAGGATTTTAAAAGGCTGTTGCAAGGATGTGGATATCTCACAGAATTAAAGGGAAAACACCATGGCTTGGATGTGACATGCTTTCTCAAGGACCCCTGAGTGGAAGCCCAACTCCCAGCACGGTGCTATGGAAATGGTGGAACTTTCAAAGGTCCTCTAAAAACATTTCATCTATTTACTTTTATTCTATGTATATGTGTATTGCCTCCGTGTCGGTCTATCTACTATCAGCGTGCAGTGCCTGGGAGGCAAGAGGACCCTTGGAGATGGAGTTATAGATCGCCGTGGGCCTCCATGCAGGTGCCAGGAATCGAACCCAGGTCTTCTACTCTTGAAGAGCACCCAAGTCTCTTAATTGCTGAGCCATCTCTCCATTCTCAAGCAGTAAGAGGATTTTAAAGTTGTAATTGTCACTGCTCTCAAACAAGAGTAGAGGAGTTATTTCCCACAAGAGTGAATTGTTACAAAAGTCTGGGCCTGACCCCTGAGGGCATCATGGTAGCACTCTCTTGTGTGCTCTCCCACCAACACAATGGCCTCAAGGGAACTGAGCAGACACTAGTGCCATGCCCTTGAACCCTCAGAACTGTGAGCTTGCATACTGTTTTTCTTTATAAATTATTTAGTTGCAGACAATTACTACGGTAACAGAAAAAAAAGATACCAACACTAAATAGAAAGTACAGGAACCAGGTCACGTTTGAGGGACTCTAGGAAGCAGGAACGAGTAAACAGTCTCTTCAGAGATTCCCCAGAGAGGGAATAGACCTAGCTTGGGTTATAGGTGTATTCTGAACAAGGGAAGGGCAAGGCCCCTTCATCCTATTCCTCTCATGACCACATGCAGAGGGTAAAGGAGGGACGTGTTCCTACAGGAAAATCGTGAGATGATGACTATGTCAGATAAAAGGGTTGGAGAGATGGCTCAGTGGTGAAGAGCACTGACTGCTCTTCCATAGTCTGGGAGTCAATTTTCAGCACCCGCAAGGCAACTCACAGCTGGCTGTAACTCTAGTTCTGGGGGAGCAGATGCGGTCTGCTGGCCTCTGTGGGTACCAGGCAGCCATGTGATACACAGACATACATGCAGGGAAAGCAGCCATGTATAGAAAATAAAATAACAACTTCTTAAGGCAAATGATAGATGTCCTTAATGATAGAACTTCCAGGATCACTGGTCAGGATAACCTGTACCACTGATTTTTTTTTTCCTGGTTGGTATAGCCTGGGAAACAAGGGTTATGCTAGACAAATCCTTGACATACAATTGTCTTCTCTTTCCTGTCCAAAGAAGATTTCAAATGCCCTGGATAGTGTGTTTGTGTGTGGTGTATCTCTCTCCCATATATATAATATATAAAGTTATTATATATAAGTCATATGTAATTCATATAACATTTAAATATACATTATATAAACATAAAATTAGTATAACATATGAAATTATTATTAGTCTCACTCATATACTCTGACTGACCTTGAATCCACTATGCAGCTGTTGGTTACCTTGAACTTCTGACCCTTCTGCTTCTACCTCCAGAGGGCTGGGATTGCTCCCGGCACCACCTGGTTTATGTGATACTGGGGATCAAACCTCCCTTTGGGTGAGAGTTGTCTTGTGGCATGGCCCACATCCTGTTCCAGGAAGAAGGAGTAGATGACATGGGGGTTCCAGGTTCTCATCCACCACCTGTCACTTAGTAGACACTCATTAAATATTTGATGATATAAAAAATGGTAGGTAAACAAATGCATGGCTAGTAGGAAGGGTATTGGCTGGACTTTTTCTGGAGTGAGAATCAAGGGCCTCCACCCTTCTCTAACACTGAGTATAGAAAGTCCAGGAAAAGAGCCAGTTTAGTAAAGCACCTCAGTCCCAGCCAGAGGGAAGTGGCCAACGGAAGGCTGAGCTGACACGGACGACCTCCCAGTCTGTGTAGAGAAAACACAGACTGTACTTTGCACTGATCTTGTACACAGATCCCCACACCTTGCTGTCCTTAGCAGTCTGCAGCTCCGGGACTCCCCTTGTCGCCCACCTGGCAGCTTTCCTTGACTCAGAAGCAGGAAATGTGCGCTGCCCATCCACTCTCCTGATTGGCTTAGGAGTTTGTGTTTTCAGCGTGGTGACAGTCACCTGACGCGCAGCACCGCTTTCCTCCTACAGAGCCTGAGATGTGTTTTTCTGGAATGCCTGAGGGCGGGGCTGTGGCTGCTGCTCCTGGGTGGGGCTGGAAACCGCTGCTTTTATCCGGGTGAGGACAGGCGGAGCTGGGGAAGCGAGACCAGAGAGAGACAGAAGGTGGTATATCCCCCTTGGTCACTTCCCTGATAGCCACCTCTCTTTGCTAGCTTGGAGGTTGGAAACTGCTGTTTAATAGCGAAACTGTACTTCTAGAACTGAAAAGAAGGCAAAAGACAGGTATTTTCATACACGGTGCTGGCCTCCCACATTCCCCAGAACTGTGAAAGTTCTGGTGCTGAGGACCAGCTCGACCAGGAGGGTTAAAACCTGTAACGGTTCTTTTTCCGTGGGAAGAGGCTCTTCTCTGGGGGGAAAGTTTTATTGGGGGAAGGGAGTAGGGGAAAGGGAAGGGAGAGAGGGGAGAGAGAAAGACAGACAGGGAGATAGAGAGGAAGAGAGAGGCAGGCAAAGAGAGAGCAGGTGTGCGGGGAACTTGTCTCTCAAAGGGACCTTTTGCACCTGCCTGGTACAGAGTCAGGGTGTTGCTTGCTATGCACACAGGGGTGACACATTCTGCCAGGCCCCCAAGGGGCGGGGCCAAGTGTGCCTAGATGATAACATCTTTGTGTGGCATAAGCTTCTCGCACTGTAAGACTCTCACAGACCCAACAGCCCTTTGTCATATACACCAAAACAGGATATCTGGGCAGAAGGTGTTCAGTGCCTCAGCAAAGCCACAAAAGTTTCCTTTCAGTGAAAGACAGACTTGGGTTCCAGACACGGCAAATTTGTTACAGAAGCAGAGCAATTGAACAGAGATTGTGGGAGACCAGCTGGAGAGAGAGGGAAGGTCACAAAAGGGACTCTCAGACTAAGGGGCTTGTTCTCTAAGCAAAGGAGCAGGAATAAGTGGAGCAGGTGGAGGATGGGAAAAGAATCTCTTTTTAAAAACACTTATGAGTGTGTGTGTGTGTGAGTGTGTGTGCGCGCGCGCACTCGCGCACTTCATGTTGGCGTGCACGCCACAGTGTGTCTGTGGCATCAGAGGACAACTTTCAGGTGTCAGTCCTCCTACCAGGTGAGTCTCAGAGACCATAACTTAGGCTATAAACTCACTCGGACCATCTGAGCCATCTTGACAGCCCAGTAAGAGTACGTTTGAAAGGTTACTTTGCCATTAGTTCATGTGTTACGTGAAATGTGAGTCCATAAGGCCACTTCCTTATGCAAACCCATGGACAAAGAGGCTTGAGAAACCTTGTCTTAGTCTTGGTGTTTCCTGGTGATCCACAAAACATTTGTTTTCAGGGAGAGAGAGAGAGAGAGAGAGAGAGAGAGAGAGAGAGAGAGAGAGAGAGAGAGAGAGAGAGAACTTGGCTCTAGACTTCTAGCCAACCTCACAATGAACTACTCCTCTTCTTCAACCATAGCAGCAGCTTTGAGATACGTTTGCAGGTAGCTTGGTTTTCTGTAGCAGTGCAATGGCCCATCAGTTGAAGAGCAGGTAAATCTAACCAGCATGTCCAAGTAGCACTAGAAAATACCTCAAATGTTCCATGACACGGCCATTACACACAGAGCTTATAACTGTTGTGGCTATCTGCACAGACTGCACAAGGTCAACCCAGTTAAAATTTCAGACATGGAAGGAGGGGGAAGGACTCCCAAGGTCCCACCCCTACCAGGGAAGCTAATGGTAGTTGATGGAGCTTGAGGAAGACAGCAACATTTCTTTGGGGGCTGTTGCCATGGGTAGGTTTCCATGCCCCAGTGATGGCCACACACATATGCACATGTGGGCAGTAATGACTGGACGTTGTGGATCATAAAAAGAGAGAGAAGAGATAAAGTTGGGAGGGAAATAGGGGCTATGTTAGAGGTGGTAGGAGGAGCTGGAGTGGGGAATAAGTAGTTGAATGTGACCAAGATGCATTAGACACATGTAAGAATCTTTACACAAGTGGAAAAAAAGTCCCACTAATAGAATATTATGCAACTTAATATGTAGTGCGTTTGACAGTATTGTGCTTCTAGATATTTCCCGTGACCTTGCAGATTGAGCCAAACCTGTTTGTGGTTCTATGTGTATGTTTTTCCTTTGACTTGGGGCACAATGGTACTGGCAGGGCAGCTGTCCCTGATGCCTCAGTTCACAGTCTGTCCCACAGGCTTCTGCTGTGTCTTACTACGCTTTTATTCATGGGCTCCTTCAAGGTGACTGCACCAGGCTATCTCCTCTCCGGCCAGCAGGGAGAGTCGTCTCAGAGGTATTGCCCCCAGGAGAGTGACGGGGCACAGCTCATGTACCATGGCTTCCCTTCTTAATATATTCCTCAGAGCACAGGGCTTTACATGGGCACACTGAGTATGGGTGCTGGAGAGAACGGGACTGATGGGTGATGGGAGTGTGTGAGTGTGTGTGTGAGTGAGTGTGAGTGTGTGAGTGTGTGTGTTCAGTGAATTGTTTCCCATGATTATTTTTATTTATTATGTACACAGTGTTCTGCAGAAGATGGCCCAAACCTCATTACAGATGGTTGTGAGCTACCATGTGGTTGCTGGGAATTGAACTCAGGACCTCTGGAAGAGCAGCCAGTGTGCTCCTAACTACTGAGCCATCTCTCCAGCCCCAGATGATTAGTTTTTAAGTACTTACTTTTGATTAGCATATAACGAGCTAGACAACATTATGGTATTCTTGTGCAAAATCGTAGTGGTTCTCCTTCCCCCATCTCCCACCTCTTTCCATTCCCAATGGCCCCTTTCCCCTCCTGTTTGTTCCAGCCTCTTTTCCTCTTTCTTGTCCTATGTGTCCTGTTGCCCACCCCATCCTGTTGTCTACCCCATCATCTGTTACTACCTTCTGTTGGTTTCCTGTGATCAGAGGGCAGCTTTCAGGAGTAGCTGTTCTCCTTGCACTTCATTGCGGCAGGGTCTCCCTGTTTCTTCTGGGATACTTCATATTACAGGACAGCTGGCCAAGGAACTAGCGCACAAGCTTGGGGTGATTCCATTGTCTCTGCCTCCCATACCTCCTGAGGTGTGCTAGAGTTATAGATGTGCCCCACCTCATTTGATTTTTTTTCCATTGTTTCTGGGGATTGAATTCAAGTTGTCAGGCTTTTGTAGCTAGCCTTTTACCTGGTGGTCCACACCCCTCCCACATGATTAAGGCTAGCAAGTCTGCCATGAGCAGAATGAGATAGAAACCCAGGGAAGAGTTAGCGTTAGTGTCAAATGGAAGTTTTCCTTCAGGAGTCTCAGTCCTTAAGGACTTTCCACCACATGGAACTTACACGTATCATAGTTAATCTGGCTTGCTTAACATTTTCTGCTGTAAATACTCATCTCATTGAAAATAAATTTTCACAGTGGCACTCAGGCTAGGGTCTGACACCAAATGGCTATAATGGCCTTGACCAACTTAACTGTCTCCTTAGGAGTCTGTAGAGTTGGGCCCATCCCATCAGACTCCTGGGTCTTGTGAAGTGACTTTCTTCTTGGGCCACTGTTTTCCTTGGAAGCCTGGCTCCCATGAAGGTCAAACCCTAACTAAACACTTACCTCTGGTCCAGTCAAGGTGACTTGTGAAGTGAGCAGAGTCATGGCCCTAAACACATCAAAGCAGCCTCGGTTTGCACAAAACTTATTTTTTCTCTCTCTCAAAAATTCCACCCCCCCAAAGAGTTTCTTAAGTAGGTGAACATCAGAAGTTTAAGTTTAATTATTAAAAACTCATACAAGGCCAACAAAGAAATTAAAGATTAGGAGCTGTCAAACAGCCAGCATTCAATGTTTGGAAGACTGAATGGAAATAGTTAGGGTGTCATTGTGTACTGAACAAAGAGAGTATGACAAGGAACTGGACCTCTTTGGGTCTAGATAGGACAGGAATGTATCTTTAAAATGTAAAACGCCTTCATAGGATTTGGGATATAGCTCAGTGGGTAAGATGCTTATCTAGCACGGGTGAGTCGCCAAGTTTGATCCCTAGCATGATATAAATAAGACATGTGGCCCATGCCTATAACTGTAACACTTAGGAGGATCAAAAGTTCAAGGACACACTCAGCTATGTAGCAAGATCGAAGCCAGCCTGGCATTCATGAGACCTTGACTTACAAAGAACTATGCATTTATCTTATTTTTATGCCTCAAGTTTTGTTCATCAAGGTCAGAATAACTCCATACAGTGTGATCTTTCAGTACACATTAACAGCGTATGATGATCAGGTCAAGGTAACTGGCATATTTTCCACTTCAGACACTTAGCCTTTCTTTGTGTTAGGAACATTCAATTCCTGCCCATTAGATTTCAAAATCATAGTGTGTTTTAAAATATACAATTAGTTTTTGTCAGTCATAGTTACCATACTGTGCTTTACAACTGTGGAAGTTATTCCTCCCAGCTGGGCGTGGTGGCAAACTCCTCTAAAGCACATGGGAGACTGAGGTCACAAGCCAAGTTGTTCTATATAATGAACTCTGTCTCAAACAACAAACACTTGAGGGCGGCTTCACAGGAGGGAATTCATGCCTTGTGCTGTAAGCCTGCAAAAGCCCATGACTGGAGAGGTCATAGGCCTTGGGGGAGGGGGAGCCAACTAGTGCTGGTTTGCTAATTGGTCATGTGTCCACCTGCCTTCAGCCCTTCTGTTTATAGTCATACATTAGTACGTCTCCCAGCCTTGGTCAGAGAAGCTTCCCTTTCAGTGGGAGGCAGTCAATGCAGGACTCCTAACTGGTGAAAGCGGGAGAATAAGGGAGTGTTGAGGGCTCAGTCCTAAAAGGGGCATCTGTATCAAGCTCTCCAAGGCACAGGACACACACTGGAAGAGGGCTGGAGAGTGTAAGAGCTGGAGGATGGGGAAGGGTGCTGTGCAATGCTGTCCTTTGGACATGACACAGCATGGATGGAGAAGAGGCTCACAAGGCTCCTCCCCCTAGCTGAAGAGCTATTGGCAGTTGGTGGCTGCCACGGGAGGAAAAGCCAATTTTCTCTCTTTTGTTTTTTCGAAGAATTTATTTTATGGGTATGTGTGTGTGGATATTTTGCCTGTATATCATGTGAGTACCTGATGCCCACAGAGACCAGAAGAAGGCATTTAATGGAATTACGGATGGGTGTGAACTACTACCATGTGTGTCCTGTGTCCTGGGAATTGAACCCTGGTTGTTATCCTCTGTTTTATTCTGTCCCTCTATGGGTGGATATTTTCAATTTAGGTGAGAATTTACAGTGTCTCTTTCTGAGCCTGATTTCCTTCACTTACAAGGTCTTCTGGGCTCATCCATGCTGCTGTGGATCACAGGGTTCATTCTTTTCTAGCAATCCATTATGTATGAAGAGATAAAGATTATTATGCTTTCTTTTTCTCCTTTTTAAATAAAGATTTATTTAATGTATGTGGTTGCTTTGTCTGCATGTATGTCTGCCCACCAGAAGAGGGCATCAGATCCTATTATAGATGGTTGTGAACCACCATGTGGGTGCTGGGAATTGAACTCAGGAGTTCTGGAAGAGGAGCTAGTACTTTTAAGCACTGAGCCATCTTTCCAGCCCTGCAAATATTTCTCCTGGCTATAGTGATTTGCTTAGGCCTACAGAAGCTCTCACAGATTCATGAAGATCATCTCCCTTCCTATTTCATTTACCTATTTCCTAAATTTCACTTCTTCCCCATTTTCCTCACTCTGAGTTCCACCTTTTTTTTTCAGTGTTTTCATGTCAAAGATAGCAATTTTAGAGTCTTTCAGGGATTCTGTCCCTGAATAGTATCTAGTGATTAACTAAAGAGTGCCTTGTGACACATCACTTAGGCTGGTTTTGCTTTTACTCATTTTACACAGTAACCACCGAGGTATTTCTGTCCATTGTGAGGTGTTAGCTTTTCTAATTCTTATTACAGATTGTGCTGATAGAGGAGAACACAGGCACTTAAATCTCATATCACCCTCATTATGGACTACAAAAGGTCATGTGATATAAAAAGCAGAGAGATAGAAGGACATACACATACACATGATAAAATAACAATACCGCTCACCTAGGTAGTTGTACTTCTCATCCTTTCTAGATGGGATCTGATCAACTTTGAATGGAAAACCAGTTCCAAAGCCA